TTTAACAAATGACGCAGTGAAAACTGTATATCTACATGCAGAAAGGTTGAAATTAGATCCCTATCTCACCCTGTACAAAATCAAAACAAAATAGATTACAAAATAGATCAAAGATCCAAATATAAGACATGAAACTTTGAAATTCTTCCAGGTAAATATAGCGGAAACACTTCAAGTCATAGGCATCTGCAGAAACTTCCTGAACAGGACTCCAATGACACAAGAAATAATATCCACGAACAGTAAATGGAACTATATTAAATTAAAAGCTTCTTTTTCAGAGCAAAAGAAACAATAAACAAAATGAAGAGACAGTCTATAAAATGGAAGAAAATACTTGGCAGCTACTCTTCCGACAGAGCATTAATATGCAAAATATATAAAAAACTCAAAACCACCCCAAAAGTTAGACAGCCCAATCAATAAAGTGGCAGATGAATTGAACAGCCACTTCTCAAAAATTTGAGAAACCCAAATTATAAATAAAGAACAAAATAAGAGGGAAATAATAGGCGTGGAGAGAGAGCTATTTCTCAGTATCAAGGGGATCAAGAGATGGAGGGAAGGTGGGAGGAGGGGGAAGGAGATATAAAAAGGAATCAAGCTGTGTTAAGTAGATAGTTCCAACTCCACATAAGAAAAGTAAACATTACGTAAAGACATTTTCATTTAATGACTGACTTCCATTCTTGTGACTAGGTCATTAAATGAATTTGATGCTCAATGAAGAATTGTATATAGTATGTACATTACAATATTCAGAACAAAGAAATTGTCAAAAGAAGCTCCAACTTGATGGCTTTGCTTTCATTTGCATAACTCTTACATGCAGTACTGTAATGTACAACAGAACATAAAACTACAGCACTGTACAGTACAATCAGCAAATACTACAGTACTCTATAGACAAGGCTTACTGTACAAAAAAAGACACAGCGGCTCTATAAACAAGATGTACAGAACTGTACAAAAAAAAAAGGTGGGCTTTAAATCCCACCTATATTTGTTTATGTTGAACCATCCTTGCGTCTCTTTAATAAGCTGTTCATATTAAGTCTGAACAGCATACCTTACTAATTCAGAAGTCATTAAACAAGGAATATCTGTATTACAAACATGTACTAATGAAAAATAAAATAAAAATAAAGAAAAAAGTACAAATACTAATAGGTATATATAAAAATATTCAATATCTTTAGCTATTAGGGAAATACAATTCAAAACTACACTGAATTTCTTTTTCACTTGAGTCACAATGTCTATCATCAAGAATACAGAAACAGGGGCTGGGGATTTAGCTCAGCGGCAAAAAGCGCCTGCCTGGCAAGTGCAAGGTCATGAGTTCGGTTCCCGGTACCGGAGAAAAACCAAAAAAAAAAAAAAAAAATACAAAACCAATAAATGCTGGTAAGGGCATGGAGTAAAAGGAACACTTTTACATTGCTGGTCTAAAGGTAAATTATTACAGCCATTATAGAGAATTGAATTGATACTGCCCCAAAACTGAAAAAAATATAACTACTGTACGACCCAAATGTCTCATTCCAAGATCATACATATATCCAAAGGAAATAAAGTCAGTTTACAAAAGAACCTGCATAACCATGCTTTTGTGGTACATTCATAAAAAGTGAGCTATGGAATCAAGACTAGTAGCCAGGTGATAGATGAATAGATAGTCAAAATGTGATAACACACATGAAGGAGTATTATTCAGCTATACGAAGACCAAAATTCTGTCATTTGCACAAAAATGGATGCAAGCAAAGATTGTTACGGTAGGTGAAATAAGCTACTCAGACAGGTATGTTTTCTCTCATATGTGGAACGTAAAGAAAAAAGATAATGTAAAAGTGGAAGGGTGACTGTTAGAGAAGAGGGAAGGAAGGAAGGGGGAGGGAGGAAGGAAGGGTAAGAGAGAAAGTGGGAAGGTGGAATTCAAAGTGTCCTATATACATGTACAAGTCTGTTAAAATAGTCCATTAATCCATTAATTTGTATAACTAACATCTACCATAATAAAATAAAATAAAGTTGTTGCCATACATCTGCACAATTATATGATAATTTGAAATTTTAGAAAATTTTAAAGATCTCAGTTAATGCAAAAAAATCATGATGAAAGGAATATCAAAATATTAAATATAAAAATGTAGTACATATACACAGCATAATATTATTCAGGCAGAAAGAACAGAATGATGCCATTTTCAAGAAAATGGATGATCTGGAGATCATCATGTTAATCAAAATAGGTCAGACTCATTAAGTAAATATGACATTTTCCCTCATATGAGGAATCTTGGTGGGTGGGTGGGGTGACAGAGGAAGAGAGTGAGAGAAGAAATGAACATAGATGAGAGATCATTAGAGAACAAGAAACAAGCGAAGGGGAAATGGAAAGGAAAGTGAGATGGAGGGTGAAAATGATCTTCAATGTATGCTACAAATATCCCAAAATGAAATCTATTCTTCTGTATAATATGTGCTAATTAAAAATCACCTCTATCAAACAATGTTCCAGCTTTTATTTGAGCCATTTTTATACTAATTTTATTTCATTTATTTATTTATTTTGTACTGGGAATCAAACTCAGGACCTCACGCTTGCCAGGCAAGCCACTGAGCTATATCCCTGGCCCTTATACCATTTTTGTTCTCCACTTTTAGTTCTGCTTTTGGACATAATTGACTAAGACCTTACCTAAGATTTCCTGATTCATAGTAAATAATTATAAAATCTGAATATAATGCAAAAGTCAACTACCTAAAGGGAGATGAACAGAAGCAGACATCTGATGAGCAATACATATTTGATTTAAGGAGAAACTATTGGAAGCTATACAAGTAGGTTTCTACACTGTATCTGCAGCTTTTACCCAGTTAAGTACAGTGCTGATGAGCCACTGTGGTAAAGATCCACATGTAAAACCTAGTCTTTCTGGCCTGAAGTACCAGAAAATAAATGGTGGGTAACTCTGAATGCTGAAGAGAAGAATAAATGCCAGCTCTAATCCCTGAATCAAAAAAAAAAAAAAAAAAAAAGTGGAAGTTTAAAGCAGTTCATATAAGGACAAAAGAAATGGAGACACCAGAGTTGTTGCTCAAGCATCAAGAATTTTCAGTTCAAGGGGCTGGGGATTTAGCTCAGCGGCAAAAGCGCCTGCCTGGCAAGCGCAAGGTCGTGAGTTCGGTTCCCGGTACCGGAGAAAAAACCAAAAACCAAAAAAAAAGAATTTTCAGTTCAGCCACTTAAGACTATCCATTTATACAGAGGAAATAATAGCTATTAGGGAAAAATAACAAACTATAAATATCTCCATAATTTATTACCAGAGGACAGAATTCAATATCAACTGATATACAAGAACCAAGAAAACAGAACACAGTCTCAAGAAAAACAGAAAATCAATCAGTGCTGAATACAATAACCTACTGAAAGCGACAAAGATTTTAAATTAGCTATTATAACCATTATCAATGAAGTAAAATAAAACATACTTTCAGTACATGAAACTTTCAGCAAAAAGTGGGAAGTTGTAGCGAAAAAGTACAAACAATGAAGAAAGATCAAACAAAATACAGAAATTGAAAAATTCTGAAATTCTCTATGTGACAAATTTTTACTACTACTATCCATTTCAGTTAATCAAGTGTTAAATTTATTCAGCAGTCTATAACACCGAAAACTCTTTAAGGACAAAGAACAAGTTTGACTCATATTTGAATCTATAATAATGCTACCATTCCTAATATATATTCTTAATACATAATGTATTTGATGTAAAGAACCAAAAGTGTATAAAATAATAAATCAGTGAAGAGATCTTCAGCGTTCTCAAAACTCTGGTCAACCTTTACAGTGTGCTGATGAAGACAGCTGAGGAATGATATAATAAAATTACTCTTTTCCTTTAGTATAATGCAATTTTTTCAAAGTACAGAAAATGCATGCTACGAAGTCACACATAAAACCAATTATTAGTACGGGTTTTTTGTTATTTATAAGCAGTTTATGTATAATTTTCAGTTAACTGTGTGCAGTCATTTTTTTCATTGGTAGCGGCTAAAAGGTACATACATATACAGTCATCACTGATGTAAACATAAATTTGTAAATAATTGCTACTTTGAGGACTTCTATAGCTATATGTAATAAAAGCTCACATTTTTATAACTAAATTCATTTGCCTTCTTTATGAAGAGACAGGAAATTATAAAATAACAAGTTCGCTCTTCCATCATAATTTTTATTTATTTATTTAGTTTTTGAGACACAGTCTTTCTATGTATCCCAGGCTGGCCTTGAACTCACTACATAGGCCAGGCTGTCCTCAGACTTGAGGCAATCCTCCTACTTCAGCCTCCTGAGTGCAGAGATTATAGCCATGTGCTACCATGCCTGGCAGCTATCACAAAATTCTATACATTACATTCTATACTATACTATACATTTCAATACTATACTATACATTTCAATACATTACATTCTATACTATACTATACTATACTATATTATACAATTCTATACTATACATTTCAAATGTTTACAATCCAAATTTTGTAATATATTTGGGGGAGGTATTTGTAAATGTCAAAATATACAGTCCTCTTAGTGCTAGAACTTTCTGTGCCAGGTATAGTATCATTTCAAAAATTTTCACAATACGTCCTTCCATAGTTCTTTTAGCTTTCAGTTTAAGTTTGATTAGGTTTAATAATTTCACAGGCAATGTTAGGTACAGGTATATAGTTCAAATTATTTTCAAAACTAATATGCTATTAACTCAAGCCCAATGAGTGATGAGAATACTTAGTAAATCATTAACCAATTTCTTAATCTCTAACCTTCACTTTGTCATGAAGTTCATGAGGACATTGTCTATATAAATATATAAATGAGAGAAAGAGAATCTCCCTTTTTATGGTACCATCTCCTATATATCATTTCATGAAGACATTACTCCCATAATTGAAGTGAAGAACATAATATAACTTACACCTTGACAATGCAGATAATCAACTGTTTGAGTTATTACAAACAGTACATCACTAGCCTCCTGTTCTGAGAAACATTTCTGTTTGAGAATACGGTCCAATAGCTCTCCTCCCTTCATCAAATCCGTAACAAGGTAAACATATCTGCCATCATCAAAGACCTAAGAAAGAACATATTATTAAGGTGTTATTATCGCTACTGCAATTACAATTCTAAGATTTTGAAATTGTATTTACAGTACTCTGTCTTAATAGTGAACCTCTAGTATTAAAAAGAGCATTATTTATTTATAGTTAATCTGGTAAGGCTATGTTAAAGGTTGAATCATCTAAACAACTTCCTAGATGCTCATGTGATACCTTAAATATTTAATTTTTTAAGTTCTGAAGCTGTAGGGTATAGTTCACTAGAAATATAAATTGGGAAAATTTGTGTCTTTCAAATTACATCTCATTTGGGGGGGGGGCGTACAGGGAATCAAACTTAGGACCTTGTGCTTGCCAGGCAGGCACTTGTGCCACTGAGCTATAAACCCAGCCTGACATCTCATTTTTATTAAAGTTATTTCTCTTCCCTAAGAGTAAGGGTTTTTTTTTTTATAATAAACATATTTCAGTACGTTATCTGACATATTCAGTTGATATTGGGAATCAAAAATAGTAAGAAAAATATATACTCAGGGCATGTGTATGTGCACACACACACACACATTCACACACACTCCTAGCACTGGTAGGACAATGGGGACTAGGAGGTGATTCCTCTCCACACACTTGTGTTTGAGCAATGCCCAAGAGCCAATCCTCTTTCCATAGTTACCTGTAACTGAAGCGGAGTGAACCCTGGAACACACATACTTTTTGAAAAGTCCCTGACTCAGGATGATGCAGCATTCTGTAAATTATTCCTGTCAATCCTACCTAGAGACCCAGTGAGATGCACCTGGGCTGGGGGCTCCTCCTTAAAAAAAAATCCAAAAATGTTTATGTGCTTTTTACTTCTTTCTCATGCTGTGCAGGAAATATTTTTCTCAGCACAGATATGTCCTAAGCACTTCCTCCCGTGATCATCAGTAAATGTAGGTGTCTTCTTTCACCACTGCATGTATGCTTGCAATTCTTTGCTCCTTGTACTCAAGAGCCTGGAATTCATCTATTGGATCCGTCTGTTATGGCTGGGTCTAGATGTCCCCCACCAAAGCCTCATGTGGTCTAGGTGGGACTTTTTCCAAGGTGGCTGGATCTAGTGTGTGTGACACTGGAATTAATTCACGGTGCAATGCTAGGCACTCGGATTAAGGGTGTAAGTGCTACCCACCCTAAGTAGTCTGGATAAGATAAAAGGGGCAGAAAGACACTGTTAAGCTCCCTTGTTAATTCTGCTGTCTTTGCCTGCAATGAACTGTTTCTTCTCTGTGATGCCCCTCTGCCTTGTGCCACTCTGCCTTGGAGCCAGCCAACCATGTACTGAAACGTTTATGAACCGTAAGTCAAATAAATCTTTCTCCCTTTAACTTGTGGGTGTTGGGTGTTTTTGTCCCAGCAATGAGGAAAGTGACGAAGACACCAACTCATGGTAGTATCATCTGGTAAGCACAGAAAGTCATCAGGAGACATTGGCAGACATCAGCAGCCGAAAGAAGCCCAGCCAAAAAGGAAAGTAACTGCCTTCTCCCCCTTTTTATAAGTGACCAGGGGTGCTCATTGTGGAACGTGGGTGCAGGAGATGACCAGACTGTAGAGAAAAAGGCTTTGGTCTTTTCTACGGGGCCAGAAAGCTCCTGTCAATCAGGTGGGGTTGTATTTTGATCTCTGTCCTTGCCACATGAGGCTTCTCGAGTAGTCATGGTTTCCCATACCCTGGAGTGGGATGGACCTAACCTGAGGGAAGAAAGGCAGCTAGTAAGTTTTATGCCTCTCCAAGGTACCAGGAAAATGGTGTCAGGACACCTTGGACTTGACAGTGTTCCCCAGGCTGGTTTCTTAATTTTTTTTTCTGAGGGGGCTGAGTAACGTGGGCCTGGTCTGCCCAATGTTGTATTTTCTTTGCAGGGGTACAGTTGGCAGCATGACCTGAACCGCGGGGAGTTAGGTGTTCCTTTCAGCAGCACCAAAGACGTAGATGGGGTCCAGGGGAGCCTATGGGCTCACACTGAGTGAGGGGCTCAGTGCCTTTCTGTGTTTTGTTCTCCTATCTGCTGACGGAACTCTAGTTCACCTCTTGTCCCTGCCCTCTCCCCAAATCTTTCCTCTATCGGACAATTCAAATTCTTTGGCTTTTTGATGCTGTTCAACTGACGGAGACAGTTACCAAAAAAATAGAAAACTAGCCTAGAATGGAAAGAATGGGAAGAAATGGAAAGAAAGAATGGAGAATGGAAAGAAACACTTGTGGTCATTTTAAAAGGTGTAGTTTCCATGCTGGCACTGCTGCCAAAAGCAGTCTGTTCTCTCCTGGTTCCTACTGATGACCTATGGCTATCTCTTGCTGGAGTCACTTCTATAATGTAGTTTGTTCTCTCCATTCTAGCTGGTTCTGCTTTTGGTGTGGTAGCTGTTGCCTCAAGTTTATATACCTTTCGAAACATTGTGAAGTTTTCCTTTTGTCACAAGATATAAATGTTTTTTGTGGCATGATCCAGCAAAATACACAAGAGTTGGAGACTGAGGAAGATACTAAGAAGATCTGAGGTCCCTATACAAGGGCACAAGCTTTAAAAGACAAGCCCCACGTGGACTGCTGGTTGTAGTAATTTAAATCATGTTTGCTTGACATGTTACTCACTGTTCTTAGAGTGCCATCTACTGACAGACAGTGGGATATCATCTGCTAAAGTGCAAGTTTTTCAGCCAAAGGCCCTAAGTGCCACTTTTGAAAGAAAATTTTTAGAGTCTGGGGGAGTCTACTGAGTAAAACTATTGCCACCCCTCCTTAGCAGGACCTCCTTTATAGCTCTGTACCACAGCCCTGATCTTTGCCCTTTATAATTGTCTAAGAGGCATCCAGCAAGTATAGCATCCCAGTTCTGAACTCTGTCCAGTAGATAAATTGGGGTCATAGAGGGAGATTCAAAGATTCAAAAGAAAACTCAGCATGTTGGCATACACCTGTAATCCCAGCACTCAAGAGGCTGAGGCAGGAGGATCACTGTGAGTTCAAAGCCAGCCTGCCTACACAGAGAGATCAAGATTAGCCTAAATTACAGTGGGATCTTGTCTCAAAAAAAAAAAAAAAAAAGTTCAAAAGAAAGTGGAACCATCTCACACAAGATCTGATGCTTCTGGCCCCCCAGGAGGCCAGCTCTACTATAGGATGCTCAACATGAGAGCAGGACAGGGTTAGAGATCTAGAGCAGTGCTGACAAACCTATGGCATGCATGCCACAGAGGGTTATTTGTATCATTGAAAGCTCTAAAAAGTTCCCCATCATTGACTTAGAGAGTGCCCTGTAAGATTCCCATGTGGAAACGGACTCAGGGGAAGGCTCAGTAGATCTTCCATGACCATATTCCACAACTTCAGCTCATGTCCTGGGGCTGAAAGGCTCAGGAACTATGAGAAGATGCCCTGTAATGTCCGCATTAATGGGTTCAGACCCCATAATGTAATTTTTATTCCATCAACAGCCCCATCATGGGAAATGTCTCATTTATTCCTTCTGACATTGTTTGGATACCTCACTCACGGGGAACAGTTCTGTCCCCAGGATTGCCCAAAATTTATCATATATTCCTATGTAATAAAAAAAATGGTCTATGTGTCCACTTAGGGAAAATGTGATGTGCCCACCCTTTGGCAGCCTAAAATATAATGCAGAATTTCAATGGTGTATTTATTATAAGAAACAGAGAAAGTGGTCAGAGGTGGCTCACAGTCAAGCCTTTAAGCTCTGTACCACAGCCCTGATCTTTGCTGTAGAACTAATCCTCTCTCATGAGCTGATGCTGTTGAGGACTCCCTCTTGTAAGTTCCTCTCCCCCATGCACTACACCTCCTCAACAGCCTGCTCTGTCAGCTACTCCAGGAGATAAAGGCCATCTCCTGAGCCTGATCCACACGAGATCTGGGTTTGCCTACCAAAAGGCCCTGGATTCAGGGAATTCAACATCCAAGTCCACCAATGCTCTACCCCTTAAAGAAGTGGTAGGGGCCAAGGGTACCATCTGAGAGAACATTCCTTTTCCAGTTATGGATATTTAGCGAAGCAGGGGAAAACGTGTAGACACTCTGAGTATTCTGAAAGTTTGCTGATGGCCTCCACACCCTTTCGATCTGACATGGTGAGATATCTAGTTCATCCTGATTTCTTACTGCACAGCAATAAAAAGAAAAATGATTATAAAAGCTGTAAAGCTGGTTGTTGACAAAGCCTTCACAGTTTCCCCCAGTGATAATCAGTCAACTGCTGCATTATTTGTACACTAAGAGGGGCCTGAGTGGGGTTAAAATAGATGGGTGAGGAAGTCAAATGAAAGTTATATATCCAGGCCATTTTAGTGGGTTGTGTCAAGGGATGCCCAAACCTGTGAACTACAATAATCTCAGTCAAGGCTCTGATGAAACTGCAGTTGCTTTTCAACTCTTACTTGAAGAGGTACTCTGTAAATACACTAATTTAGACCCAGAGTATAGGGAAGCTCAGATTATTCTAGGACAATATTGTATTTTGTCCTATTCAGATAAGGCTCAGGTTAAAGCCCACACCACTGAGGGAAACCAATATAATCAAGAGTGATAGAAACAAGTCAGAGGGCTTCAAGTGCAAGTGAGTGGGACACTGGATGAAGGAGTGCCCTCTAAAGCCACCAAACACTTGTCAGGCCTGTCAGAACATGGATGTTATGGTTCGTGTTTGGGTGTCCCCCCCAAAGCCTCATGTGGTCACGGGGTAGGCTTTTAGGGTTTGATGGATTATGGGTGTGAGAGCTACACCGCCCTGGGGTGGATAGTTTGCATATGTAAGGGAGAGGAAGAGGGTGGTTCTGGCCATTTCCTCTCTTGTGTGTGTTTGTTTCTTTGCTGTGTTCTGCCGTCCTGAGCTGTAGCCCTCTGCCATGTGCCACTCTGCGCCTTGTAATCTGCCAAGTAGGGACTGAAACCTCCACAAACTGTAAGCGAAATAAACCTTTCCTTCCTTAATTTTGGGCATCAGGTATTTCGTCCCAGCAATGAGAGAAAAGTAACCAAGACAATGGAAGAACTTCCTCATTGGAGGAGGAACTTCCTCATTGGAGGAGGAACTTCCTCATTGGAGGAGGGACTTCCATTGTTCCCAGGAATGGATGAAGTCATCCACCACCATGGTGGCCAGGGAAGAATGCTCGGGCAGTGAATGTCAGTGCTTGAGGCACCCTGTGTGACTCCCAAGTGTATTCGCATCACCTCACAGGCACTTCAGGGAACTCAAGAAGTAATGGGAAAACAAAGTATGTCTCAGATACTGAGGTGTCTTATTCAATTCGAATTTCTTATTGGGATAAACTTTCATCCCATTTCAAAGTTGTTGTGTGCCTTGAAGGAATTAGCCCTGCAGTCTGCTTTATTATCACTCTTAACTGCCAGTTGGAAAAGTTCCTTTTCCAAGCTATCTTTACGGTGATACCAGAACACCTCATACAGCTCATCAGAAGAGATATGTTCATCCTATTCAAGGTGACTCTAACATTCAAACCTCTGGCAACCTGTGTCTTAGTTGCTAAGGACTCATCCAGCCTAACCGTTATATCTTTATGTCTTTGTCTGGAGTTGATCTCCATGCACGGTATGACAGCACCCCAGGGAAGGTTGTGAAAACCACTTCAGTAATCATTCAGCTAAAGGACCCTAATCTATACCATGATTACTTACACCAAACCTCAAAGCTAATCAGGTTTTTCTTCTATCATCAACAGCTACTGAAGAACTTGATAATCTCGATCAGGAGAGGCAAAGCATGCCAGGTAGGCTGTTTGCATCACTGAAAGCTCCAAAGGATTTTCCATTGCTGGCCTAGACGAACTTGTTCAGAGAATTGCCATCCTTTGAGATCAAATACATTCACAGCCAGGGCTGGCCACGCATCGTAGGGGAGAGATCTTATAAATGCTGAAACAGAGGTTACGTCTGTCTCTAAAAGAATGTAGTTCCTATGTCAATCAGTTTGAAATCATGAGATACAGCACAGAAGCTTGTCAATAACCCTTCTAAGATCCACAAGGAACTATTTGAGTCATGTATGTCCCGGCCAAGTATCAGGAACAGTGGTCTTAATTACTGTCCTAGACATGGCCTTTATGAATGCTTCTTGTAACTCTACTATTTAGCTCTTACATACTGAACCTCTTGGTCAAATTTGTTTTTTCTCCTTTGATAGCCATTAAACTACAGGGGATGGCCCAAGCCCAATATTAAAATCCACCTCCACATCCACAGCTCATCAGGAAATACTGAGAGGAGGTACTCAGTTACTTTGAATTCTTAGATGAGACAGGGCGGGAGTTTCATTGGTCCCCACATAGGTAGGACTAATGCCCTTTTCAGCAGGAAGTAGCCATGGAAGATGGAGCTCAATGCTTCAGCATTCTTTAAAGGTTTTGGGCAACTAGGTCTCTCAGAGGGAAATAGTATAAGTAAAAGAAGGGGGCTGGGAGACCATTTTCCTCAACACACTTGAGTTTGGGCAATATCCCAGGGTCATTCCTCCTTCCATTATCTGTAATTTAATCAGAGTGAACCTTGGAATATACACACGTGTGGAAAGCCCCAGACTCATGATTACTTATCACCCTGTTAATCATTCCTATCAATCTTGCCTAGAAACTCAATGTGAGGCACCTGAGCTGGGGGCCTCTCCTTAAAAAAAAGAAAATGCATTGGGCTGGGGACATAGCTCAGTAGCACAAGTGCCTGCTTGGCAAGTGCAAGGTCCTGAGTTCAATTCCCAGTACCAAATTAAAAAAAAAATTAAAAAAAAATGCAAAGGCCTGATTTATCTGGTCGTATGTTCTTTTTACTTCTGGTACCATTTTAATGTTCCTGCCATATTTCACTCAGCATAGACATGGCCTGAGTACTTCTTCACATGATCTTCATAAATGTAGCTGCTTTACCTTCACAACTGGCTATACACTTGCAGTTCTTTGATTGCTGTATGTAAGAGCCTGGAATAAATCTGTTAGATGCATGCCATGGTATCAGGACTCTTTAAAGATTACAAAAACAGTGTATATCAGATTAGCTAAAAAAACTGGTCAAGCGATAGTTCATTTTTCTGCCTTTTCTAAAATGAAAAGAATATTACCTTCTATGTGAAAAGTCTTTATTCAGTAGTATCTATTAATATATGGGTTTTATGTTCATTTTTTATAGACTATTTTACTGAATGAACAATCCATAAAGTACAGCCAATTGCAATAAAATCAAGAAAAAAATCTTCAAGAACCTGACAGATATTTATTTTCCTACATAGTTACAAAATGATAAATGGAACTAGTTGTAATGTTAACTAGGGAAGCAGCAAGAATGTATCCATGTAATCTGGACTACCATTTACCCATCAATTTTAACATATTATGAGTAGGCCTATAGGAAAAGAGAATTAAAGTGGCAAATTGCAGCATCTTGAGATCTTATGGCACGAAAACCATATTTGGAACTATATATACAGTTCCAAGTTATAACTGCATTAACTTAGCTGCTAAGTAGATATTAAAATACCTACATCCTTTAAAGTGATAATGTTGGGGTGTTGTCCATAGCGCATCAAAATTTCAATTTCTTCTGAAGGATCTCGTTTACTTTTGTCAATGATCTGAGAAATAGACAACAATCTCTGAGAAAAACATATTTTTGTCTAAAAATGAAATAGTTTTCAATTTGGTACATTGTTAAACAAATACCTAAAAATTCAAGAGGAATTTTCACCCTATTATTTTAACATGTAAAAGTTTCCAATATCTGGAGAAGGAAGAATATGTTTAAATTGGAAGGAGAACAAGGGAGAGGGAAAGGGAAGGTGAAGAAGGGAAAAGGGATTAAAAAGAAAAAGCAGAATGGTACGGAAAAAATGAAAAAAAAAAAGCTTTTGTAAATGGGAGGGGAAGAAGTATTGTCAAGAGGGGAGGGAAATGGGGAAAAAAAGGAAAAATTAAGTTATATTATGTACAAGTACAAATTCCATATGAGAAATGTGATCATTATGTATGGCAAACACGTACTAATTAGATAAATATGTGAATAAATAAAAAGTATGTTTCCAATATCTTCACAGAAAAATCTTATAAAAAAAATGAAACACTGTCCCTATTATAATATTCAATTTCATTGAGCATATACTAAATGACAATATGTTCCAAATATAAATATGATTGCCACAATTACTCAATTTTTAGCATACAGTATTATATTAAAATAAAGCTCTTCAAAAGCAAAAACTTCATGAAATATACTGTTTCTCTGAAATGAAACCTTGCAAAAAATCCAACATGAAAATATTAAGTCTCAGATTCCATTCTCATTATCTTTCCTTTCTTTATTTGATCCATGCACATGCCCACTGACTGGTAATTTAAATTACATACATCAAACAAGTTATGTTAAAAGACAATACCTTTACTGCAAATTCCATGTTGGTAGATATATGGATGCATCTCTTGCAAACAGAATAAGAACCAACACCAATATCCTCTTTCAATTCATATACTTCACCAAATTGTGCAGCATTTCCATTGACCTATTTTTTTTAAAAAAAGTAAGACTTTAAGGAGAATGAAACATTTTCATATTTTCTTTTGGTCCTAAATATGCCCTCATGTTAAATATTTTAAATATCCAGAATAACTATCCTACTGAAGGTTTGCCACTATTAACAAAGTACTTATGCAGATTTTGAACCAGTTCTAAACAAACTGTAGGCTTTCTAGGTTCCCAAGGCTAACATGATAAATGAACAGGCTTAGAAATCACCCTAACATTTTGCCAAAGCAGACCACATGAACAGAATTAAAGACAATTACTATCTTTCCCCCCATAATATATAAAGCCACCTTTAATAGTTGTCTTGAGAGATAAAGTAGTTAAAACTCACTCATAAAAATAAACTATTAAAAATTCATTATCAGTAACTGGAAGAATTATCTTCAACCTGATAGATCTCCTAACCAGATAACACAATACATAGAATTTACCTGAACTATTGGTAAAACATTTGTACTTGTGATTGGAGTGATTTTATATTCATCTGCAATAGAAGTTGCAACAAAGCTGAATCCTTTGAAGAGCTGATGAGCATTTGCACTGGCTGGCAAACCAGGGGAATCTAATTTTCAAATAATTATATTTAATTAGAATAATAGAAAATATAATTATATTTAATATTAAATGTAAAGAAAACCATTCCATGTCATCTATCAAATATATTTTATTTATACTATGTTAGCTACCTCCCACTCCCAGTATGCATATCCCACTATGACAAGTACGTTTTTGTTTGTTCTATTAACTACTGGATCCTTACTGTTTAGTACCTAGTAGGCATTCAATATTTGTCGAAAAACTGTACAAAACAGATGTCAATAGAAGTAAATCATAGTAAATTTTGAACTAAGAGACAGTACACTACAAAATTTTTTACCTCTTAGCCACTACCCTGTAAGTAATGAGCATATCAAAAGACTTATAAAATAAAACAAAAACAAACTCTACTACTCTTTGCTGTTGTCCGTATTTCTCTATAAATACTCCCCATTTAAAGGCTCAGGAGTCCTAAAAATGTTGTATATAGGACACACGGTTCCAGCAAGGACAAACCAACTCTCTGTAAACTTATTCTTTTAAGCTTTTAACTAAGGAAATATGTTATTTAGTTATTACTAGAATCAAAGCTCCACATTACCTTTAGGTGTTTTTGCAGTAAATTCAGGGTCAAAACAAAAAGTGTCATCTGGTTTTCCAGAAGCAGGCTTGAATGGAGGCTGAACTTCTCGTTTATATAATTTCTACACAAAGTAACAGGGTAACATAAAAACATTCAACACATTAGAATTTTTATGCAGGTTGAGCATCCTTGTTTCAAAAATCTATATTCCAAAATGCTCCAACTCCACCCCACCCCAATTTTTTTCTTTTAGTACTGGGGATTGAATCCAGGACTTTGCACATGCTAGGTAAGCACTTTATCAATGAGCTCCATATCCAGCTTCCTTTCTTTTTACGATTTTTCATGTTGGAACAAGGTCTCAGTAAGTTATCCAGGCTGTCAGCAAACATGAATTCTACCTTAGCCTCCCTAGTAGCTAGTATATCAGGCATGTAGCATCATGCCAACCAAAATCCAAAATTTTCTGAATATCAACATGACACCAGAAGAGGAAAATTCTACACCTGGTGACACTATAAATACTGCATAAAGTTACTTTCAAGCTACATGTATAAAGTATATACGACACATATGTGGATTTCGTGTTTAGACATGGCTCCCATCTCCAAGATATCTCACGTACACTGAAATGCGCCAAAATTTAATCTAGAACATTTCTGGTCCCAAGCATTTTAAATAAGGGATATTCCAACTATTTAATAAAAGAAAGTAAAACACAATATCCACCTTTTTTAACAGAAGTCTTACATTACATAAAAGAAATTTCCATGGCGTTCAGATACCTCTTGGGCAAATTCCAAAAAAAATGAAGAGACAAAGTCCAAGACTTAGTGAGGCCAGGAAACACAATAATGGGGCCAAAAAAATGCATAGCAAAAGAGTAAACAAGTCAAATTGTGGACATCGACAACTGACTTCAGTTCGCACTGGTACAACAATATAAGATGTATCACAGTATCACCATGCAGAAACAACTTATAATATTAAAAGTGCTAAAAATTCATTACATTATTTTCATGAAATATACACTTTATCTAAAATAGTATGTCTCTGCATGAAATATATATTAAACGCATCATATAGTGCTAATTTCATAGAACTGGACATTTTACTTTCATCTAAAAATGTAACTTTTAAAAATTTATATGTTTAGACATAGGTGGAATAAGATTTTGGCTAGGCTCTTCTAACAATGTCTTCCTGCAAATGAACTAGTTAAAACCTAGTTGGAAAGTGATTCAGTCACAAAAGTACAGTGGTACCTCAGTTCATGAACTCTTTTCTCTGAAACCAATTTGGCTTGCAAACAGTCATTTAGCAAATTTTTTCTGTGTGTCCAAACTGTGCATCAAGTGACAACAAACTAAACAGTTTGTTTAGAACAACACAAGCACACCACTATTGCCAAACAAACACAGCCATCACTTCCAAAATCATAGAACAAATTATGTTCATGAACTGAAGTACCACTGTACGTTTACAGAGCTAAAGAAATCAGATGAGAATCAGTGTTTGCTTTTATTACAGTAAAATAAAAAAGATGCACTGAAAAAGCAAGAAGGGAAGTTATATGTTGCTCACAATCAAGTCACTTCACTACTAATGACCGACGGAAGGTGAAGGCATAAATAGATATTTCAGAGAGCAGCTCCAGGAAGATGGTGGAGTGCTAAACATTAGGAAATCAGCTTCTCTGTGATTAAGAATGCAGACATTAGAATATAATATTGTGGGGAAGGAAAGGAGGGAGGTGGATCCCTGGGACCCAGAAAGGATCTGAAGGGAGAATTGGAGCTCACAGGAAAAGTGAAGAGAGAGACATCAACACAGAAAAAGGAGGCGGCGAATTGTACTTTCTCCCTAACCTCGAGTTTGTGGTGTGAGAGCAGATGATCAAATCTACAGGCACAAAGCGAGGGCAAGTGACTCCAGAAGCCTCCAGGGAGAAGCACACCAGTGGAACAAGCAGTGGATGCTGTGTGCTACAACAGCTGGTGACCCCAGTTCAAACATCTGTTGTGTCCCATGGAGAGGGTACTCGGCCAAATGCCATTTTAGGGAGGGGCCAACTGAATTAGGAACTCTGAGCAGCCATAGTTTGGCTTCATCAATAACAAGAAATGAAATGAAATTGAATCAACAGTAAAAAGTCTCCTGTCAAAGAAAAGCTCTGGACCAGACAGCTTCATTTCTGATTTACACCATGTATTTAAAGAAGAATTAATCCAAATTGTCCTTAAGTTAGTCCAAACACTAAAAGAAGAAGGAATTTTTTCAAACATATTGGACAAAGACAGAATTACCCTAACACTAAAACTAGATTAAAAAAAAACACAAAATATCAAAATAATGAGCCAAGACAGTTGAACATAAAGTGAAAATCCTCATCAACATACTATGAAGTGGAATTCACCAGCACATTGGAAAGATTATTCATCATGATCACAGGAGGTTCATTCACGGCCTATAAGCATGGTTCAAATTAGACAAAACAATAAATGTGGCACCCATATCAACAGAATGAACAACAACCACATGATTATCCTAATAGATACAGAAAAATGATAAAATTCAACATCACTTCAAGATAAAAACACTGAACAAATTACTTGTAGGATTATACCGCAATAGAAAAGGGCTATTTGTTGTAACTCAACAGTCATCAATACTTTTTTTTTTTGGTTTTTCTCTGGTACCAGGAACTGAACTCACGACCTTGCGCTTGCCAGGCAGGCGCTTTGCCACTGAGCTAAATCCCCAGCCCCAGGCATCAATACTTTGAACAAGTGGAAAATGAAAGCTTTCTCTCTAAGATCTGGAAAGAAGAAAAGCATGGCCACTTCCACTGATTTCATTTAACATAATGTTAGAAGTCCTAGTCAGAGTAATCAAGCAAATAAAAAAGAAATAAGGTGCATTGAAAGTCAAAAGAAGTACAGTTATCAAGTTTGCAGATGACATGATCTTATATATGGAAAAGTGCAATGGCGCCACTAAAAAGCCACTGGAACTATTTAATAAATAAATTCCGCAAATGTACAGGATATAAAAGGAACACAATTTGCCAACAGCAAATTATCTGAAAAAGAAATCAAGAATGTAGTTGCACACACAATTGTTACAAAAAATATAATACATAGGAAGACATTTAATTAAGCAGGTGATAGAGTTCCACAACAATTGTAAAACACTGATTAAGTCAATTGAAAAGGCCACAAAAATGAAAAAAATATGCCCTGTTCATTAACCAGAAGAACCAATAATGTTAAAATGTCCATACTGCCTGAGATGGTAAAGGTGGACTGTCAATTTGATTTTTTTGATAACTTCCAAGAGAGTAACAAAGCACACTTGTACATACATCTGGGTGGGTCACAGAGGCATAAGCATCGGGACTATATGTGATCCCTCACTCTGCTTCCCAGTTACCATGAACTGAGCGGCTTTGCTCTGCCATGCCCTTTTGTCACATTTCTGCTTTGGAGCCAGCCAACCATGAACTGCTTCTTCTGAAACCATGAGCCAAATGAACAATTTTTAGTGAGTGTTGGGCATTTGATCTCAGCAACAGAAAATCCAACAAAGAAAATTGTTACTGAGAGTTGGGTCATCACTGTAACTATACCTGATCATGCAAATCAGAAGTGTTTGGAACTGGTTTACAGGAAGAGCTCGGAAAAGTTTCAAGATTCAGGCTGGAAAAAGCCTAAAAGGCTATAAGGAGAGCATTTGAGGCAATTCCAGCCAGAGTGCAGAAGGCCAGAATACTGATAGGAATTTAGAAAGTAAGTCCAGGCTCATGAGGTTTCAGCTGGGAATGAAGATTCTTCTGGGAGTTATATTAGAGGCAATGCTTGATATCCTGTGGAAAAAAATCATGCCCAGGGACTTTGCAGGAGGCTCAGTGTAAAGAGGCTAGTTAATCTGGTGCAAGAAATTTCAAGGCAACCCAACACTGAGGCATGGGTACTGCTGGCTGCTTTTAGCCACATTTACAGTGAAAACTGAAAACAAAAAACAGAACAGAAAAATTTGCAAAACTTAAAATTTTGTCCCAAAAAGAACCACATGTAAAACTGGTTGAACAAATTAGCATTAAGAAGAAAGCAAGTACTTTGTTCAAGGACAAGAAGAAAAATGACTTGAGGGCATTTCAGAAATCATTAAGATTTCCCCTTTTTGGGTTCAAAGGTGAAAAAGAGTTAACCTTTCATTTCAGAAGATAGTCCTTGAGACACCTGCTCAATAAGTACATTCTTATGAATTGGTTCCCCAGGGTATATTTCACTGTGCTCAGTCATTCTGGTATATATAGGCCACTAAAATAATGGTTGAAGAAGTCCTTCCTGGGTACTCCTTTCACAGATAACTGACCTTGGTGTTGTCCATGGGATGCTTGTTTAATGGAATGCAGAATGAAAGAGTTGTGGGATTAAGGAGGCTTCTACCCAGATGGAGGGCTTTTCTGAGGAGAGCCAAGAAAGGAGCCTCTGAGAAGGCAGTGTGTGAAGCTGTGGGAATAAGGCTGAAAGTGCAGTGCAGACCCCAGGAAGTTAGAGGTGTAAGATGTGGAATATGTGCAGAGGAACGCTGCAGGCTGTGAATAAAGCCAGCCCATGTGAGAGACCATGTGGGCTTTACTGGCAAGGCTATAGGGGTATGACAGCAGAAGCCCTCTGGAACTCAAATCTCAACACAATGTATATGGATTCTCGACATGGAGCTACAGGACTTAATATTTTTCTTATTGGTTTTCAGTCTTGTTTTAGTTACATTGTTTTCTATCCCCCATTCCTCCCTTTTCAAATATGAAAGTTTACCCTACACCATTTTACATTGTGACTAGGTAAATTCCTTTTTAAATGTATAGGACATCACAGCAGAGATTATGCCTTGAGTCTTAGAAGAGAAATTGACTTGGAAGTTTTAGCAGAGCTAAGTTGTTTAGACTTTGAGGGAGGGATTATTTCGTTTCAGTTATATGCAGCACAGTTGTGTCGTGTTAGGCAGAATTCTGACTTTGCATTCATTTATTTGGGGACTAAGTACCATTTAGTGAAATGCACTTGGATATCAAGTTGACAAAAGTTAGGATGTGATGGTTAAATTGGACTGTCAATTTGATTGGCTTTAGATCCCCACAGGGTACTAATAAAGTGCCCTTTTGGGTATGTATGAGAAAGTCATATAGACACGGTTTGGGGGTCAAAATCTGGTCGTTCATCCTTTCCTCTCTGTCACTGCTCTTCTGCTCTGCTTTCTGACCATCATGAATAAACAGTTTGGTCCCACCATGCCCTCTACCATGATACTTCTGCTTTTGAGCCAGTTGACTATGATTGAATCCTCTGAAACCATGAGTCAAATAAACTATTTCTTCCTTTAGGTTGTGACTGTTGCTTATTTTATCCCAGCAATGGGAGATCTGACTAGAATAGTACTCAAAGTTATCAAAAACTTTACTGAAACCCCCAACAAAATGTCACTGACATTTTTCAAAGAACTATAACAAAACTTCTAAAATTGATATGTAACTACCAAACAAACCTCAATAACCCAAGCTATTTTGAACAAAACGACAAAGCAGGAGGCATTACACTGCTTGACTTCTGAACATACTATAAAGCTGCAGGAGTCAAAACATTATGGTATTGGCATAGATGCAGACATTCAGTCCAATGGAACAGAGTGGAGAGCCTTAAAGTAAACCGATGCATCTATAGCCAGCTGATTTCTATGAAAGGTACTAAGAACATGCAATATATGACAATGATTTTTCAATGATTGGTGCTAGAAAAATTATATTTACACAGGTAAAATGAAATTAGAACCTCTCATCAATTATAAAAATCAACACAAAATGGATTAAAGACTTAAATGTAAAACCAGAAGCTAGGAAAACAGGGAAAATGTTTCAGAACAAAGAATGGGAAACAATGTTTTTTGTTTTTTGTTTTTTGTTTTGTCTTTTTGAGATGGGATCTCACTATGCAGTTCAGGCTGGCCTTGAACTCTCTCTGTAGCCGAGGCTGGTCTCAAATTCGCAACGATCCGCCTGCCTCAGCCTCCCGAGTGCTGTGATTACAGGCATGTGCCACCACACTTGGCAAGGGAAACAGTCTTTTGAAAAAGACAACAAAGGCATAAAAATCAAAACCAAAAACAGACAAGTGGATTTATATCAAAACAAAAGCTTCTGTAGGCACAAGAAAGCAATAGTTTTCTTCAGAAAAAACTTACAAAATTGGAGACAATATTGGCTAACAAGGTGCTAATATACAGAATACAAAATGGATTCTGAAAAACCAGTGCCAAAATATTGCTTTAAAGATGGTCAATAAATAGGAAACAGGGAGATAGATATTTCACAAATAAGAAAGGGATCAAGAGCTAGATGGAGGGAAGTGAAGGATAAGGAGGAGGTAGGGGATGATAAAAGAAGTCAGGATGGATTATGTACATGTACCAACTTTCTATCATGAATGTAATCATTATTGACTACAAACATGTGCTATTAAAAAAACAAAAATGGGCAACAGATCTAAATACACATTTCTCAGAAGACACACAAATGGCCAAGAAGTAAATGTAAAAATGCTCATCACTGCTAATCATTTGACCACAATAAGATATCACCTCACCCTAGTAAAACCGGTTACTTTTAAAAAACCTAAAGAAAATGCTAAAAAAAAGAAATTTAGGGTAGTGTTGGTAGGAGTATAAATTAGTACAGCCATTATGAAAATCAGCATGAAGGTGCCTCAAAACATTAAAAACAGAACTACCATATGGTCCAAAAATCTCAGTAAATGGGTATACAACCAAAGGAAATTAAATCAGCATGTTCAGGAGATTTCTGCACTCTCATGTTCATTGTAGCACCATTTAAAAAAAGCCAGAAATAAAAACAACCAAACTGCCTATCAACTGATGAATTGGTGAAGAATATATGCTGTACATACACAGCAAAATACTGTTCAACCTTAAGAAAAATATAAAATGCCATCATTTAAAAACAACTATGGAACTGGAGAAAATAAATGTAACACATCATGCAAACACACAAGCACACACAAAGACAAAAAAAAGTAGGATTTCTCTCATGCACATGCTAAAAAAGTTGATCTCATACAAGTTGGGAGTACACTGGTGACTACCAAAGACTGGGAAAAGGAGAAGAAGGTAAGGACTGAGTGCAGTATATCAATGTATACAAATTCCCTTTACTTAGGAGCAAAATGTCCTGATTTGCTACCATACAAAAAGGTGACTATATATAACAATAACATATTGTACATTTCAGAAATCTAAAAAATGAGTTTTCAATACAAAGAAATGATAAAAGTTTCAGAATATAGATATGTTTAATCTAATTCAAACATGACACATGTTTACATATATTGAAACATCACATATGAACTCATGAATATGTAAAATTTTATGTTTTTATATATGAGATAAAATAAATTTTATTTTTTAATTTTGTTGTCTTTTTGAGACAGGGTCTCACTATGCAGCTCAGGCTGGCCTTGAGCTCACACTGTAGGTCTCAAACCAGGCTGGGCTCAAACTTGCCACGATCCTCCTGCCTCAGCCTCCCAAGTGCCAGGATTACAGGCGTGCACCACCACACCCAGTGTAAAATAAAATTTAAAAGACAGGAAACATATGAAACCCACAAGTATATTTTAGAAAATGACTTTTTAAAAGCTCAAAGTCCCACAGCATAGTGAAAAAAAATACTGAAGATTTACTATAAAGGAAACCCCATATACTTACATACATAAAATTTCCATTGATTTATTTAAATTAAAAATCAGTAACAGAAAGGTGGAGAGATGAGGAAAGGTTGATCAATGGGCACTCAATTATAGTTAGGTAGAAATCAAAAGTTGTGTTATTTTATTGTGTAGTAGGGTGATTATAGATAATAATAAATGTACTGTGTATTTGAAAAGACTATAATGAAGGATTTTGAAAGTTTACACTATAAATAAATGATAAATATTTGAAGAGAAAGATATGCCTACCTCAATTTAGGCATAATGTAATGTATTCATGTATTGAACCATCATACAGCACCCCATAAAAATGCGTCAATTTGTATGCTTTTATGTGGCAGTAAAAATAAATCTAATTTTTAAAAAGTAAAAGCACAAAAATTTTTTAGGTAAAACAATAATGGGGGAAAAGTACTTTTGTCTAGATAAGAAGAAAAGTAGAAAATCACTGTGGAAATGAAAAAGGAGATGCAAGGAAGCCAAAGGAAAATTTTCACTGTTATAAAATAGAGCCAGCGCCAGGATGTAGCTCAAGGGCACAGCGCCACCTGCTTAGCAACCTAGAGGCCCTGAGTTTGATTCCTCATTTAAAAAAAAAAAAAAGACCCAGCATCCATGCAGTATACCAAATGAATGGTATGTCTGGATATTAATACTAATGGCTTCTGATACATTACATTTTTACAATTATATGAAATACATTTAAATGTTGACAACTGATACTTTCTTCTACAAACCAGGTAAAATGATTCAGTCAGTGAATGACTGCTATTTCTGCCCTAAAAATTAAGAGATACTATTTTCCTTTTAAAACATTTTAATGCCAGTGTCAAAACTTGAAAATAAAAAGCTTAACTATGATGATTACTAATACATAAAATAGACAATACTACATTATAAAACAAAGTTCTCTTCTACAAAAATTTTATAAGTGAGAATATCAATTTTTAAAAATATTTATATATGAATTAGCAGATTTTCTCAATGTTTCTGCTTTTATAGCCTCTCAATATTGAAAGAAATCTGTAGTAAAAGACATATTTAATAAATTTAATACATGACACTGAAAAATCTGAAAATTAATAGCACTTTAGATTCTTTATAATTCATTTCCTGTAAGACTCTATTATATGCTTCATCCACTTTCTCTTGTTATCTCACATTCTCCAATCAAAAATATGGACATAATATTAAACATATATAACATGTAAATTATGAAAAAAATTGCTAAATATTACCACACCTTTCCTGCTTCAAGGTAATTGCCATCATATGCAATAAAGATCTCACAGTAAATATAAAACAAACAATTAAATTTATAAGCAAAGCCCATAGATTACCATTTAGTCAAATTTTTTGCTCATTTTAATATAGTCATTTATTTACAAACTTTCTACTTAACTTACATTCCAGTCAATATTTGCAAAGAAAAGATGTCTTTTGATTTCCTCAACACCTTCTGAACCTATAAAAATAGAAAGAAGTTTTTACTGACATTATTCTTTTTCAATTATGCTGCCTGGCTTCTAGGCTTCATCTATAAATAGAACTACATATATTTCATATAGCCCTTGAAGTGTGATGTCTGTAATTTGTCTGGCATTTTATCAATTGGTCTTTTTACTTTACTACCATTAAAAACTGATGGTCGTTTTCAACTGCATATGAATAGTATCACATACCACATAACATTCAAAGTATTTTCTTTTCTTCATAATTAAGCTCATGATCTGTATTTATGAGCCAAATTAAAAACCACAAATAATAAAGTGACACTGACATTTTAACACAAGGACGTGCTTAAGAAACACGATCACATCTAAATCCAGAGGAAGGCTATTGGAAAGTGGTCAAAAAACAAGCAGTTATGTGAACATCATAGTTACTTTGAAAAATATTAGGAATGACAAAATATTTACCCTCAAATATCTAAAAGAATTATCAACGTAGAATTAAATTATATGTATTATTTCAAAAGTCAATTTATGTAACATATGATACACATTACATATGATCAAACACACTAAAGGAAGTTTGGATCAGCTAAACTACTCCATTTTTTTTTGTTCCAGTACTAGGGATTGAAACCAGGGCCTTCACACCGCACCCTTCGGCGGCATGAACAAAAATACAGTGTGCATTGAAATTTTTTAAATGTACAGAAAATGCATTGCCAGTAGTCTCCCTCAAAATACTTCCTTTTGCTTCAAACACATATATCACACCTTTCCTGACACTTCCTGAGGCAGTTCTGGAAGTCCTGTCAATAATGTCTTCACTTATGCTATCATGGCTTTCTGGATTGCCTGAACCGCAAAATATTTTTGTTTCAAAGACATTTTGATTTTGGAGCAGAGAAAGATGTCACATGGTGCTAGATCCAGTGAATAAGGTATGTGAGGACACACTGCAATGTTATTGTTTGTTTTTTTTAGTACATATATCTTTTTTATTTTAAAGATAAAAGAACAAAAACACATTAACAAACAAACAGACATAAACAAAACAACACTCAAACAATAGTAGCAATACAGAATTTCAGACAAGGTGATAGGAAATTAAGGCCCAAGACTTAGACTGAGGCCCAAGTCTAATCTTCCTAAAATGTACTTTTTCTTGAATCATAGGTTCTTGTATTACACATTGCTACCTTCAAATTGGATACCCAGTTAAATAAATATAGGGATGTAAGATTGATCAAACAATTAAACATTGACTGTTCCTTTCAATAAAGCAATAAAGTCAGTAGTAATGTTTTCAGAAGCCTCCCTCTTGGTTAGATGTCACCACACAACAGCATTAACTATATTTTTTCATCATACCTCTTAAAAAGAGACAAGAGGGCTTCCAGAATTGCTTCAGAAAGTAGCAAGAATGATGGGATAAGTGTGTTCAAAGTATATTTGAGTGTGTGGGGGGTGTATTTTGAGGGGGATTAATGGTAATGTGTCTTTTACTGTAATAAAATATTTTAAAATTTAAACATTTATTGCACATTTTTATCACCCTTTGTACATTCCCATCCTTTTTTGAAAAATGTATTTTGAAACAATGTCTCACTAAGTCACTAAGTTGCTGAGGCCCAACTCAAACTTGTGATCTTCTTGCTTCAGCCTGCCAAAGTGTTGGGATTATAGGTGGAAACCCCTATGTGTGGCTAGATTACCCTATTTTAAAAATTACGTTCAAAACGGAATCGACTATTCCAGAACTACATACACAAAATGCACAATTCTACATAGAGACATATAGTAACAGTAAATGAACGTAAATTGAAAAAGTTATCCTCCCAAAATATTCAGTACCATTATAAGAACTAAGAAAATAAAAAATCAAACAAACAAACAAAAACAATACCCAATCTATTTGCTGGATTCCTTTTGAATAACATCCTTAGAAGACTTTGTGCTTCACCACTAAGAAATTGAGGCATTCCAAGTTTTGCTCTGGAAAAGATGATTTTAGAAAGTCTCACTTAAATCTGGCTACACTTTTTAGTTGACAAATCTCAAAGTGACTATTTAAAAGAGCTTTCCAATGGCAGTAATGACCTTTATTCGGTAGCAGAAGAGAACACCACAGTAAAAAATTGTTTTTCTATCTCAATTTAAAACAATATTAAGTTTCTTAAAACAGATGAAAGAGATTGTTCCCAAAATAAATGAATAGTGTTTACACTTACTTTAATATCATATTCATGGTCTCATTTCTGTCTTTACCTTGAAATGGCAGAGTACCAGTAAGCATTTCAAACTAAAAATAAAACAGAAGAAAATCACAGTCAATTAAACACCACTTAAAATATATAATGAAATTATTTAGAAAAAAATTAATATGAATATTACATGATCATCAAATCATGCAGGGTTTAGATAAGAATCAGCTAAACTGAGATGAGAAAACTAGGTTGTTTACGGAAACACACGTTTAATAGGCTGCTCTCTCCATATAGCTCAACTGAGAGATGACATGTAGCAAATGAAGCCAACCAATTGTTTTTTCAATTTTAATTTGGCTAACTCCACAAAATAAAATAATTTGAAAAGACAAGGCATTTTTAAAGCAGAGATATGCTTTGAAATCAAGTTTTAATAATAAGGGAAAATGTGCAACACAAGCATTTCAAACTCTTACATGCCCAAGAAAGATTTAGTGATTCCAACTGCGATTTACTCTCCCAATGTACAGAAAGCAAAAGAACGAGGAAAAGCAGAACACACATACCCATATGCACCTGTGTGCACTAAGACCTTTAAAAAAGATAAATATTTGCACAAAGCAAAAAGAAAATATTTCCTAAGGAGATTAAACTGACAACTAGATGTAAAAACTAGGTGTAAAAAGGAACATTATCTACAGTTTATTTAAAAGTATTTATATCCCGAACAATTAAATTTCAACTGGGACTTAATAATGGTTTTGTCCTTAGATGGCTCCACTTAAAATCTCAGCTTATCTCCTGTATCTTCATGACTCCTTCTGCATCAGCCTTTATCTTTCCGAAACTACAGCTTTTCCTCCGAAATATACAATATTTCATCACTGTGGCCTGGATTTGTAGAATTGGGAGAGGCAGAAACACAAGGAAAAGAAGGATGGTTTTTAGAAATCTTGTCTTCTCAAAACTGGAGTTGAGCAGTTGAGTGGGGCATGGACAGACAAAGACAAATATGTATAGATGTACACTAAATAAATTCTTAAGTGATTCTGATTTTCTCTCGACTGCCACATGTAATTTATCAGCACGAAAGGCCTAGCCACTAACCTGTGGCAAGCTATGCTATGTTAAAAATAAAATTCTTTCTCTACCAGCTGTTATTAGCTTGCTCATTTCTATTCATCCATCATCCTTGCAAACTGCTAAAGTTTATAAGTTTTAGAAGAACCTTTATCATCAACTCATCTGTTTGATTTTATCTGTGTCCTTTAATCCGCAACTGAGGTTAGTCATGTCTTCCTTTGAAATGTCTTTAAGGTTTGCTTTCAGATAAAATTTTATAATGATAAAACTATCTTATAAAGACATCTTTTTGGTCTCCCTATTTCTAGTTTCTGCTATTTCCAATCTATTTATGTAATGCTGCCAAGTCTAATCTTCCTAAAATGTACTTTTTCTTGAATCATCATCCTATTTAAGAATCTGGCTAAGAGAAAAATCACATGCAAATATTTATAGGTTTACAGCTTCAATTCCTCCACCTTCAATTTCATCCTTCACTATTCAAGACAAATTGATTCTCTAAGGCTTTGCTAATATATGATCACAGTACTTTCCTTCTCCACATGCAACTACAGAGCACGCAAACACACACACACTCACACACACACGCACACACACACTCACTCTCTTCAGGAAAATAAAAACAGTATGATGCTTTTTTCAACAGATGGTGTTACCCTTGTGTGTGGGGGGGCTCCAGAGAATGTCATGTATCATAAAAAGCCCATTACACCGCTGGCCCCTGGACAACAAATTGAAAACGTGCAGACATCTCAGTGACCAAGGTTACCCAAGCAGGCCTTCACCATACTAATAAATGTCTGGAAGCTCATGGCCACCACTCTGAGCACCTATTATAATTGTAGAGGCCAGAGGTTACTTGTATTAATCTCATGAAGTCTCAATAAATTTAGTATTAAAATAATTGTATGTTTTTCTTTTCCTGAGTGTATATATATACATTTTTTGGGAAGAATCTGTATTTAAATTTTATCTACCTTTCAGGTCTTCTCTTCTACCTCATCTACTTTCCCTATATAATTTCATGAAATCTTCCTAAACACATTAGGTACATGTAAAGGTTTTTAGGTCAGAGAAAATACCAAATGTACTTTTCACAAGTTTCTGCCTCACTGCCCTGTAGCAATGTTCATATTTTAATAGACATTTAATATATGGATGTATCATGAAGTGTTGTTAAATGATAAGTAGATTAAATATATTATCAAATTTCAAAGCCAACCTATATCTGATTCAAAATATATTTTTATCATGCTATGTACTACTACAAATTCTATACATAATCTCATATTAGTCAGCCTTTTTTTAACAATCTTCTGTTAAATGGTCACTATGATAGTGACTGCAAGAGATAAAAAGTAATATAATACATTAATTCTGTCTTCAAGAAGATTACAATCTTTCTAGGTTATACCTGAAAGAATTTGACCATAAGATTATGTTAAGGTGATAAATTTCATGCCATCTAATTAAAATATAACTGCTAAACTCAGCTTTCTGAAACTTAGAATCTGCCAGACATTTCTCTAAGTTCCAAGTATGAATTGTTTATATAATGAATATGCAATTTACTTTTTCAGTACCCACTTTACAAACTTAGAACTCCAAAATCCTAATTCTTATTATAGATCAACTAGGCAAAGTTTTAAAATGTTAATAGTGCAATATGAGAAGTCGTTTCTTACCCGGTACATTCCAAAATTTAAACTAAAAAAATTTAATGATAGGAATAATGTTATCATAATTAAGAAAAGCACTACTACTTACCATAAGTACACCATATGACCACCAATCAGCACTCTGAGAATGACCTCTCCTATTTACTACTTCAGGAGCCATATACTCTACTGTACCACAAAATGAGTAGGCCTTCTTTTCTTGATCTACTGACTCTTTGCTGAGTCCAAAATCTATAACAGCATTAAAAAATATATACTGAAAAACTTCAGGAAACAGAAATATTGAATGAAACCAACTAATGTGTTAGACATTAGAACAGTTTATGGATGGTCTTGAATTACTCTTAAAGCTGTGACATCAATAATAAGGAACAGCCTCTATTTCACATTAGTTCTCTTTAAGAGGATTTAAAGACTGCTTACTTAAATTTAATCCTCAAGATACATGCTTTCAGGTTTGTACTAAAATATTATGCAGCAAATTTGAAGGAACAACAAGTCAAAGATTCATATTGAGCTAAGTTTTGAAATAGATTATGAGAAAAGTACAGTTAGCGATTCAGTTTTAAAATACAGTATTAATCCCAGCTACTCAGGAGTCTGAGGCAGGAGGACTGAATGTTTAAAGCCAGCCTGGATAACTTAGGGAAACTATGTCTCAAAAATATACATTTTCAGAAAGGGCTGCGGTGGTGGCTCAGTAGTAGAGGACTTGCCTAGTAAGTGCAAGTCCCTGGGCTCAATACCAAATAACACATAAACATATATGTGTAAATTTTATTTTAGCAAGCTTGGACTTTTGCTTAAAGACTTCAGAGTGCTCAAGATATCAATATAAAATCCTTTCTGAATTATAATGAAAAGCTAGAAACTAAAAACTGAAAAATACCATTTACAATACCACCAAATATCCTAAGGCTCCCACAAGCATAAACATACAAAATATATGTATGCCAAAAGTTGGAAACATTGCAGGAAGAATTAAATATAGTCCTAAATAAAAATAGAGGTACACTATGTTCATATTTTAGAAGACTCAGTATTGTTAAGATGTCACTACTCCCAAAGCTGATGTGCAGATTCAATGAAATGTCAATGAAAATCCATTTATAGTAACATTTATATCACCCTGGCAGTAGCACCTAATCAGCAAGAGTGATTGTGTAAAAGATAAATTGGTTATCGAAATACCCTAAAAACCAATAATGTACTACATTTAACCATAGAAAGATTTATAAGCCAGGTGTGGTGGCACAGGCCTGTAATCCCAGCACTTGGAAGGCTGAGGCAGGAGGATCATTGCAAGTTAGAGACCAGCCTAGGCTACAAAGTGAGCTCGAGGCCAGCCTGAACTGCATAGCGAGACCCTGTCTCAAAAAAAGAAAAACAGAAAGGAGATTTATACTTGTTGTATAAACACTATGACATACCAGATAATAAATACAGTAAATAGTTACTGAATGCAACAGCTGTACTTCCACTAACAATCAACAGTAATGTCAGAGTTATATAACTTCTCTAAAGATTAGTAAAGCTTAATGATTATACTAGTAAACTTAGTAGCGGTAGAGAATGGGAAAATGAAAGAGGAAAATTTTGAAAAATTACACAAGGGAAGATTCCTTCTTCAGTTGTTGCCTGCTGTGTAGAAGGAATCACTTTCAAAGTAAAACCCTATTCTGATTTTGTAATTTCAAATAGCCAGTAATTTTTCTTAGTGTAGCACTGCTGGTCCATTTTTTTATTTCTCCCTGGATCTCTCCCTCTGAGGGCTCCCTTTTATCTGTAGAGACAGCTTTCCCTAACTGGCTGTTGGGGTGAGAATCTGAAATCCTTCGTGTCACAGTGTCACAGCTTTCTTTCTACTTTAAAATAATCTACATTCATCTATATCTTATATTTTATAAATGAAAAAATTCTGACACACATCTAAAAGCAAACCAGGTCTTTTTCAAGGTAAGATAATATTTATATAGTCTTTGTGTATTTCTTTATTTTAAAGAAAATAAAAAACCAAAATGATACAGAATTTCAAAACAAGATGATAGGAAATTAACAATGGTTGTTATATTGCATATTGTTATCTTCAAAGTAGTTGTTCATATTACCAGATATAGGCAAGAAAAATTGATCACAAATTAAGCACTAACGGTTCCTTTCAATAAACCAACAGAAATTAGTACTACAATTATCTGAGCTATATTGTGTGTGTATATATATATATATTTCCCTTCTTTCTTTCTTTCTTTTCTCCTTCCACCCATCCCAGTTGTTCTTTCCTTTTGAGCTGTTTCTTTCCTGTTCACAATAACTATTGTACCTTTTGGATTTTAGTTGCTCTTTCAGTTTCTTACACTAGGGAGACAATATGATGTTTACATATGTGGGCCTGATTTATTTCACTTATAAGTATGGTCTCCAGCTGCATCCATTTATCTAAAATAGCCTCGAGTTTATCTTTCTTTATAGTACTCTATTGTATGAAAATACCACACCTTTTTCACCCATTCCTCAGTTGATGGACACGGGTTGTTTCCAAGATTCAGCTATGGCAAATTTTGCTCCTATAAACTACAATAGAGTAGTCCTCTATTGTATGAAAATACCACACCTTTTTCACCCATTCCTCAGTTGATGGACATGGGTTGTTTCCAAGATTCAGCTATGACAAATTTTGCTCCTATAAACATGACGGCACATACATTGCTGTGGTGTGATATTTTCAACTCTTCTGGAAAAATACCCAGAAGGATCATAGCTGGGTGGAATGGGACCTCTAATTCTAGTTTTTTGAGGAATCTGTACACTGATTTCCATAGTAGTTATAACCAGTCTACGCTCCCACCAGCAGTAGAGTAGGGTTCCTTTTACCTCACAGCCCCACCAGCATTTGTTATTGGTTGATTTTTTTGATGAAAGCCATTCTTGCTGAGGTGAGATGGAATCTCAGTGTTGTTTTAATTTGCATTACTTGAATGACTAATGATGCTGAGCATTTTTTCATGTTTTTATTTGCTATTAGTGTTTCTTCTTCTGAGAAGTGTGTATTCATCTCAGATGTCCATTTTTGGATTGGGTCTTTGAATTTTGGGGGCCTGATTTTTGCAAAATTCTTTGTATGTTCTACATAGATGTCCTTTGTCTGAGGGACGTAGGCTAAACTTTTTTCCCTATTCATGGGTTTTTCTTTTCACTCTGTTGGTGATTTCTTTTGATATGTAAAAACTTTTCAATAAAATGATATCCCATTTGTTGATTCCTTGAGTATTTCCCATGCACTTTGGTTTTTGTTCATGAACCCTCTGACTACCCCCCTGTCTTTAAGATTTCTACCTACTTTCTCTTCTAGTAGACTAAGTGTTTCTGTTTTAATATTTAGATATTTGATCCATTTTGTCTTAAATTTAGTGCATGGAGCTAGACATGGGTCTAGTTTGAGTCTTTGGCATGTGGATAGACAGTTTTTTAAGCACCATTTATTAAAGAGGTTATGTTTCTTCCAGTATTTGGCCCCTTTGTCAAAGAGAAGGTGGCTGAATGTGTTTGTAGTCCTGTCTGCATTTTCTAATCTGTTCCACTGATCCTCAGGTTTCTTTTTTTGCCAATACTATGCTGATTTTAGCACAGTAGTTTTGTAGTACAACTTCAAGTCAGGGATTGTGATGCCTCCTGCCTTTCCTTTGTTGCCCAAGATTGCTGTCTTTTAATTCTAGGTCTCTTCTGGTTCCAGATGAATTTTAGGAATGTTTTTTCCAGATATGTGAGGTACACCAATAGTATTTTGATCAGGATTGTACTAAATCTGTATAACAGTTTTGGGAGTACGGCCATTTTCAAAATGTTGGTTCTTCCTATCCATGAGCAAGGGATATGTTTCTGTTTTCCAAAATACTGTTTGATCTCTTTTTTTCAGAGTGCTATAATTTTCAATGTTAGATCTTTTACTTCCTTTGTTAGATTGATTCCAAAGTATTTCATTTTTTTGAATGGTATTGTGAAGTGTGTGGTTTCCCTTATTTCGCTCTCAACCATTGTTAATTTCCTACCACTTTGTCTGTTATTCAGCATTGCTTGTATTGTTCTTATGCTATTTTGTTAATGGATATCTGTTAATATGTTTTCCTTCTTTTATTTTTAAACTAAATTAAAAAAAAAGTAGATACTGGCAAACAGAACAATGCAACAAATCATCAAGAAGATTATACATTATGACCAAGTAGGATTAATAACAGGGATGCAGGAATGGTTCAACATATGCAAATCAATAAAAGCAATCCACCACATTAACAGAAACAAAGACAAAAATAATACAATATCTCAATAGATGCAGAAAAAGCATTTGACAAAGTCCAACAGCCATTCATGATTATAACCCTACAAAAAATTGGAATAGATGGTCTTTACCTCAATCTTATAAAAGCCATCTATGACAAACCAACAGCTATTATCATACTAAATGGTCCGAAACTGAAAACTTTCACTCTAAAATGAGGAACAAGACAAAGATGTCCACTATCAGCACTCCTACTCAATACAGTCCTAAAAACATGCACAAGAGAAATTAGATGAGAAATAAGAATAAAGACAGAAAGGAAGAAGTTAAATTATCATTTGTAGATGACATGATACTATACACAGAAGATCCCAAAAACTCCACTGAAAAGCCTGTAGATTTAATATCGAAATTCAGTAGTGTAGTGGAACACAAATCAACATTCACAAGTCAATAGCATTTCTGTATACAAAGCAACAAGCTCACAGAGGGAGAAATTAGGGAAAGCACACCTTTCACAATAACATCCAACATGAAATATTTAGGAAGCAACTAACAAAGGATGTAAAAGATCTATACAATGAAAATTACAATACCCAAAAAAAGAGATTGAAGAATATATCAGAAAATGGAAATATATCCCTTCTTCATGTATAGGAAGAACCAATATAATGAAAATAGCCATACTTCCAAAACTGTTCTACAGATTTAATGCAATTTCAATGGAAATATCATGAACATACCCCACAGATCCAGAGAAAACATCCTAAAATTCATTTGAAACTAGAACACACTCAGCCACCTTATCTTTGACAAAGGAGCCAAGAATGTTCACTGGAAGAAAGATGGTCTCTTTAGTAAATGTTGCTGGAAAAAAACAGGCTCTCCAAATACTGAATAAAACTAGATCCATGTCTAGCACCATGCACTAAAGTCAAAATGGATCAAAGATCTAAAT